ATGTCAGAGGACAGACGGAAGGCAAGGAGACACCGCCCTCCATGTCAAGTGCGGAACTGTAGCTGCTACAAGACTCAGCTAGAGGATGGGAACCACTGCTCTTGTCAAGAGCTGTAAATGAGAGGCCCATGAGTAGCCCCCAAGGAAGACTCAACAGCAATCAGCTCAGCAATCAGCTCATTTAGAGCCAGCAAACCCACAGGAGTTTACCAAGAGAGAAAGAATGTTCTTTCCTCCTGCTTGAAACCTAGAGCAGTATGAAACTTACAACCCAAAAATAGAGGAACGGGCTGGAGAGATGGCTCACTCGGTAAAAGCAATGGCTACTGACTGGACCCAGGCCTGGCTGTCAGCATCTCCATGGTGACTCACAGCCTTTGACTTCACTTCCAGGGGATCTGGTGCCCACTTCAGGTGCCTCCACAGGCGACAGGTAAACGTGGCCAAAATAAACAGGGGGAACACATGGCTCAAGGAAGCATACTTGCTACCAAGGCTAATGATCTGAGTTTGAGTCCTACGATCTCCATGACAGGAGAAGAGGGCTCATGTTCACAAGCTGTCCTTTTATGTTCATGTGCCTGTCATGACATGCATAATCATACAACACACACAAAACAAACAAACAAAACATTAAAAAGGGGGGTAAGTATACATATTGATATAAAATTAATATAATTTATCACTATATATATATGACTGTTTACTTAATTTGGTTTTTTTGTTTGTTTTTGTAGATAGGGTCTTGTAGTGAAGGCTGGTCTGAATTTCCAAAGGAAAAAAGTATATCTAATTATTTCATATGAAAGTTACCTTGTGCCATTTTTCCAATTGTTTTGCAACATAACCCCTTTCATTCAGGTAGGAAAATCCTTTCGGAATGGAGAGAAATCTGTAAATTAGAACAACCATAGCTGAACATTAAGTCCAAAAGAAATTATCTAAACTAGAACAAAGAATACGCTTCGTAAACAAACAGACATTGGAATATGTCCTGTATAAAATAAAAAAGTTACTTGTAATTTATTAAAATTTCAAACACAAGGACTTCCATTTCTCCCTACATCTGACAGTTATACAAATGAAACAAACCACTGATGTACGTTTGTAATCTTTTTTAGATAGGCCTACTGGAAGGATGCCCTGACCACCACACACGACTTGGCCAGAGGCTGGATCAACCATCACCTAACCATATTACTGGGTCTCAGGACCAGAGCATGCAGCCACCTACCTTATCGCCCACCTGATTCAGAAAAGCCCAACTGCCTCTCTTGTTTCTGTCTCCTAAGCTCGCCTTCCTTAGATTGCTGGGCTGTTCTCCAGCATTTTGGGCTTCCTCTCTCTCAGGCTTCCCTCCCCCATGTGGCTGCTTGTCTGCTGTGTCTGTCCTCCATGCCATCATAGGGCATGGCTTTCTGGCCTCCTCTCCTCCACTGTCTTCCTCCAGGCAGCTGTTAAGGTTTTACAGTTTGTCTGCTCTGGGGTTTTATCTTTTAAACTTTAATAAAGTTTTCCGTGACCTTCCAATTTGCAGATAAACTTTCACAATATTTTCAGAAAGACTGAATGCAATAAAAATAAGAAAAACATCATGACAAGTATCAAGGAGCGCAACGCTAAGCACAAGCTCACAGAAGGAACAGCTCAATTCTAAAGTAAGCATGGTTCAGATCTTCAAAGTAAACCAGAGTATTTTCTAGTCAGATTTGTATCTAACATTAACACACCTGACCAAGAGGGCACAACAAATGTACTTCATACTTACCTCAGGAGGAGAAGCAAGCCCTTGTCTCCAAGGTGGGATAAGGCTGGTTTCATCTGAATCAGAGCATGGAGATTGGCCTAAAGAGATGATCACCAAGTCAGTCATTATGCAAAGGTAGCATACTTTCTGTCCAAATGCTATGCACACTGAGGTTTTCTAACACTGCCAATTGAAATGGAATATATAAAAAAATTTTCCCTAAATATTTCATTATTATGACAATAAAACTCATCTTTACCTTGTCTTCACAAGCTTCATCAAGAATATCCAGAGCTTCTGAAGAAATTGTTTTGTTTTTATCATGTAGCTGAGTTACCAGTAACTCAATTCCCCAATTGTTGAAGAATTCAACGTTAGCTCTCAATAAAACCCTTAAATGTTTGGTTGCATACAGTCTGCAGGCCTATAGAGATAAAGGAACACATCAAACGTCACCAGAGACTATTTGCTATCACTTTGAAAACAAAAAAAGCTCTTCTACTCTTCAATATGGAGTTCCTCAGAGACAATTTTTTTTCTTTTTTAGAATGTGTAAATGTAATCCTCAACTATTATAAATTTGTATCAAATTTCTTGTGTCTGGGGAAGCCACAGGGGTCAGCATGTGGGAAGTACATGATACTCTGGAAATAACATCTTTGTGATCACAGAATGTCCCCTGCCAGGTAAATACAGAGACTAAAGCTTATCTCAATTTCCATCCCATCTCTTAGTTGCTTAGCCTAGAAGGACCCAGCCTATAGTTTATAAAGTACTGGGATGAGCTGGCTAGAGAGTGTGCTTTCCCTCTGTGTTATACTCACATCTGTAGCTGCCGTGAGGATTTTCGAAAGGATGACTCTGGCTAATCCATCTCTGCTATAGTCTAGGCTGGAAACGGTGAGTTTTAGCAGGTGATCTTGGTTTTTCAAGGAACAAAGATTAAGGAGACTAAAAGAGAAGAATTATTGTAAATTACTGTGTTGATTCATTAACTTTGTAATTTTTCACTAGCTTTATTGAAATATGATTGACAAATAAAAATTATGTATATTCAAAGCAGAAAACCTAATTAGATATAAATTTAACCTATGAGGTGATAAATTCATTAACAAATCCATTAGCATAGATAACTACTATTTTAAGGGATAGCCATGTGAAAACAATTCCACATACATTTTTTAAATCCTACATAAATATTTTTGATAAAAATTATCTAGCAAACACACATGCATAAGACTAAAAGGCAAATTGTGTATGTGGATCCACTGAAACTAAAGTTTAGGTTGATAATACAGCAAATCTGAGAAGGCTCACCACTGAAAGACACTGCATTTTTCCAGCATTTTGACTCCATGAGGGTGACAGGAGAGTGTTCCGATAAATAAGAAGTAGTGTTGACTAAGGGTGGTCAGTAAACCATTATTCTGAAGGCTTCTTTCAGGTTTCATTCCAGATGAAGCATTGAGCCACTGGACAATATCTTTCACGAGATCTTCTAAGTACCCTTGCCCATCCTGTAATTAGAAAATCATCTTTAATAGCCATAAAAACTTTTTGATGGTAAGTCACTAGTAACAGATAGGATCAGCTGAGTGAATTTTAACCCTTTCAATGAAAACCTTGTTACCTGGAGATAGTCTTTATTCCTGTCTCTCCATCTTACCTGAGGGTAAACTAGTCCACCTAGAGGGCAGATGACTCCCTAAGGTTTTAGAACTAGGTAGGGATTATGTCAGGATTCAAATGCACATCTAAGCTTATATTTCAAACAAAGCTTATACAGACTAGGAAAGAAAAGTAAGCCAGAAGAAGGGCAGATGTGGGAGTATACTTTAATCCCAGCACTCTAACAGGCAGATCATTGTGTTCGAGGTAAACATGGCCTATGTAAATAAATTCTAAGCCAGCCAGCACTACATAGTATGACCCATCTAAAACAAAACAACAACAACAGAAAAAAGAAAAAAGAAAAAAGAAAAGAACCAAAAAAAAAAACAAAACAAAAAAAAACAAAAAAAGGAGGAAAGAGTAATAGAGGGGAAAAAGAAGAGGGTGGAGTCAACAGAAAATACCTACTATGAAAGTCTCTGGAAGGCTTACCTCTTCAGACTCAAGGAGAAATTCTGTAAACTGACAACCAACAACTGTGAGCTGCTTGGACTTGGCAAAGTCCAGATCCAGACTAGCGTACAGTTTACTGCTGGGCTTGTAAAAGTAAAGAAGTCTGCGTACAAACCTAAAGTTAAGGTGAAATTAGCAACAAAGTAGGAAACCAAACAGTTATTAAAGAACAGGTTTGGAAACTTACTAAACACTTTGGTACATTTCACGAATTTTAAAAAGAAATCAGTGGAAAACTTTGTCGGTTGAGTAAGAACGTTACAGTAAGGCCTGGTAGGGAGTGTTGAGACATGGGCAGGCATGGGACAGCACTCAGGAGGTAAAGGCAGAAAGAACAGTAGCTCAAAGCCAGGTTAGACCACATAATGAGTTTCGGGCTAGCCTGGGCTACATAGCAAGCTCTGGCCTTAAATAAACCAAAAGAGCAACACAAAACTCCACAAAGTAGAGAGAACACACAGACTGCGAGGCTAGGGAGACATAAGGAAGCCTCTCACAGAGACTGATTTAACTGAATTTATGTACCTATTTCAGTAACTTTCAATGTTGTGCTCACTTCATATATATAGTTCAGCTTAATTTCATGCCCAACAGTGTAACCCAGAAAGGTAGCAGGAGTCACATCCAAATGTATTAAGACACCACTCTTTTTCCTTAAAGGTTTCAAGACTACCATGCTTCTTCATTTCACTGTAACTTGTTGGTTCTATATAGTTCTTAAAACCTGATATAAACAGTTACACGTCATTACGTACAATTACAATGTAAGAAATGTTAATGATAGGAACTTCTCTAAGACACAGTAAGGCCTTTTTATCCCAGGAGATTGAAAACAGAAGCAGAAGGGCACACAGGTGCAGTAGAGCAGAGGCTTCATGTGCTCTGTGTTGTGACATCAGCATGCTTGACAGACAGTGGAGTTGAGTAGTTAGGAAGAAGAGACCACTCTCAGAAGATGATCTGAGCATAATCACAAGTGGCCTCATAAAATGCAAGCCCTTTCTTAATGCCACCCTTGTGTCAGGGTTAGGACCACAAGCTAAGATAACACTATCCCAAAGTAAGTAACATATCATAAAGATCAAAGCTGGAAACAAAGTAAGTAATGAGAAATTTAGCTAGTGCACTGATTATAAGACTACACATAAAAAAAAAAATCAATGATTACGTTTAAGCTTAATATAAATTTAAGTTCTTCAATAGATTTACATACCTGTGCAACTGCTCATCTTTATAGTTTCTTAGATTTACATTTGGCCACTAGAAAAACAAAATATATTACATAATGTATATCTGACAATCCCTAAGCATATAACTATAACAAATAGCAATAATAAAATGAAGGCAACTCGGCAATGTCTATGAAGTACTCTATCGTACCTTAAGAATGGTCCCAATCAGATTCCAATTCCATTCAAGATTCTCTTTATGTTGAAGGACTTGGCTATCTCGAAGGTTTATTAAAAGCGCTTCCTCTGTATCCTACAATCACCAGACACAAGGACGACAATTAGGCAATCTATGCTCACATCAGAAAACTAATTTCTCATTTTAAAAATGAAGAGAGGTGGGCAGCGGTATTTATAGTTAGACTGTCAAAGATCCTCAATGATTATTTTCAAAGGGTTAATAACAACAGCAGCAAGGGCATGAGATGGTTCAGTTAGTAAAGTGCTTGCCTTACAAGCATGAGGCCCTAAGTTCGAGGCCCTAAGTTCAAGCCCCAGAATCTACACATCCAGAGATGGGTGACACGTATCCCAGCACTGTGGAAGAAATGTAAGGAGTGTGCTGGAGCTGGGCCTAGCCTATTGGGAGAGGTTTTGTTAGTAAGAGACCCTGTCTCAAAATGAAAATGAAAAACTCAAGGCACATGGTCTCTGAGGAATAGCACAATGTTGTTCTCTTGTCTCCACGTACATATGTACACATCCACACGAACTTCTGCTACATGGTCTACCCTCACATACACATAAATGCAACTCAAGGAATCCTATTCATGGGAAAACTGGTCATTTGAAAACCAATCTGCTTGCATAACGTTGAAAATCTAGACAATCCAGTTGCTGAGAATTAGGAAACTAATTAAAATTATGTTCAATTTTTCATGTCAGTACCTTAAGAACAAATATATCTTTCTGAACTCGAAGATACTGATCCCGTTTCTGGTGTGTTGCAATTGCTTTCTGAATGATGTGATCTAAATGAAGGCTGTAAGGCTTGGGTCCTCGTTTCTTCATTTCATGGAAGCGTTTTAGACAGTTCAGGGCTGCACTGGCTCGCCTAATGAGGGAAGAAGAATCAGTGCTGCAGCAGGGCTAGCATACTTCTCAAGCACTGGCGGCTAAGTTACTTAAGCTTACATAAACTCAAGAACAGAGATTACCAAGCAATATCTGGTGGAGCGTGGGAGCATAATGGTAACAGGTCAGCACTGCTAATTTACGTAAGGAAACCTATTGTGGGGTCATACTTGCATGTACTCATTTTTTCTTCTAAGGTAGCAGGCCTATTCTATATATGGGTTTTAAGAATTCCTAGGCTGGAGAGGTGGTTCAGTGGTTAAGAGCACTGACTGCTCTTCCAGAGGTTCTGAGTTCAATTCCCAGCAACCACATGGTAGCTCACAACCTTCTGTAATAGGATCTGATGTCCTCTTCTGGTGTTTCTGAAGAGAGAGACAGTGTACTCACAGATGAAATTAAAAAAAAAAAAAAGAATTAATTACGGAATATTGGCAGATGGGTCAGTGGGTTCACTTGCACCAGGGGTACCTGGTTTGGAACCCTAGCACTCAGAAAATGCAGACACTACAGTGTGCACCTGCAGCCTCAGGGCTCGAGGTGGAGGCTATCAAATCCCAAGTCCCAAGGATCACTGGCTACTCGGCCAGCCTAGACAGAAGGGCAAGGGGAGCTCCTGCTTCAGGACAGTCAGACTGGCAACTATGTAATCCGTCAGTAAACACAACTTAGGGAGCTAAAGAGAAAAAAATAAGACTACTACTATTTCAGTTATTTTAACCACAATTTTGTTGTTGTTGTTGTTGGTTTTTTGAGACGGGGTTTCTCTGTATAGCCCTGGCTGTCCTGGAACTCACTCTGTAGACCAGCCAGGCCTCGAACTCAAGAAATCCGCCTGCCTCTACCTCCCAAGTGCTGGGATTAAAGGCATGCGCCACCACTGCCCAGCTTAACCACAATTTTTAATCCTAATGATCCCTGAGACTTGTGACCTTAATTTGACAGAGTTTAGAACTACCACCAGGTTTTGAGAAAGCTTTCACCTCAATCATGGAACTACTAAGATAAAACTTCTGTATTATACTAGAAACTTCTAGTGAGAACCATGATGTTCTGCTAATGCCTCAGTTAAACAACGTGTCTCTAGTCTGTTTATTGGAAAAATTAAAATGAATAACTGTTATTTATTGATAGTTAGGCTCATCTGCAAACATATGCATTACTACAGCTAATTAAACTTTTGAAGAATGTGTAATTTTAAACAAGTGTTCACAGTTCCAAAGAGGTAGTGAACTGCATTTTGCTTATGGGGGGAAATATGGTTGACATATCTAACTTTTCCCAGATCATAAAATGAAACAAATTAAAACCACAACAGAAAAACTCTCTATTTCAGTCATACAGTATAGCCTTGTTTAGAAACATGAAAGGAAAAATGCCAATCTACCACTTACTAACACTTTATAGCCTCAAATACAAATTATTACTATTTTGAGAACTGTAACTTTTCCTTCTTGTGGTTTCCAAAGGGAAGTGCCAAGCACAACCTGTCAGCACTACTTGTTTTCTCTCCCCGTTTAAAGAGGCGACCAAGGCAGACACTGAGCGCAGCGAGCACACTGTGCTGAGGCTCTTATACTTACAACCTCTTTTCCTTGGGAATATCGAAGGACGCAGCCATGTTCATAAGGGTTGGCAAGCAGTGCAGGTGGTGACTATGCGAGTGAGGCAGGATGGTGTTTGCCTACAGGGAACAGGACGCTTTGTGAGACTTGAGAGAGAAAACAGTCATCTGCAGACATGACACATACATGCAAGACCAACAAAACCCAAGGCTTTCCACGAAAACAACTTAATTATTTCTGCCCACACATACTTACAACTTTTAATCCCATTACATTTCGGTAAGAATGACAGGCTGGAGCCAATGAGACAGCTCTGCAGGATAAGTATTTGCCACCAAATAAGAGGACCTGAGTTTTACCCCAGAATACACATGGCAGAAAGAGAGAATTCACTCAACACTTCCAAAGTTGTCCTCTGACCCCAATGTATCATGGTACAATGGTACATACGTATATGTGTGCACACAGAAACATACACATATACTATAAAACATTTTTTTAAATGGCATTTTTTGTCATTATTGTTTTGAAACAAGGTCTCTCTATGCAGCTCTGGCTGTCCTGGAACTCGCTATGCACCCAGGCTAGCTTTAAGCTCTGTCTGCCTCTGCCTCTGAAGTGGAGACAAAAGGCAAGTGCCACCACATCCAGCAGAAAATTACATCTTGGTGTAAATAATAAAAAATTATAAACCTAACCCAGAAACCACTGAGAAAGGGTCTAAGAATTAGGTGTTCAAAGATGGCTCTACTTACAGTTAGTAACTAAATACATGGTGGTATAAATTCAGCAAGAAAATCCCTCAACACAGACAGATCAGTGTTATCAAATACAGATATAACTGTTTGAAATTCTGAAAGTAAAACATGCAGATAGTTTTCTCAATTTAAAAAGATTTGTATTACTGTATTTGTATTTTGTCTGCATGTATGTCTGTATACCATGTGCATGTAGTTTTAGCACAGCCCAGAAGATAGTGTTGGATCACCTGAGACTGGAGTCACATACAGTTGTGAGTCACCATGTGGGTACTAGGAATTGAACCCAGATCCCCTGGAAGAGCAGCCAGTGATCTTAACTGATAAGCCATCTCTCCAGCTCCTCTCAATTGTTTTTTAATTGGAAAAAAATTCAAATCACAATAGATGATGAGATCTTGCACAGATTTAAATCTGGACAAACCAGGCGCCAATCTGGAACTCCCCCCTTCCACTCAAGGCTTCTGAGTGTACCAGCATTACTTCATGAAGAGCAACAGCCCACCTCCCCAGATGTCATGTGATAACAAGAGCACAGGTTTTTGAACGTGTAACTTTAAACTTGTATCTCAGGATCTAGGAGCTTCTGGGACCATAATTTTAACCCAGCCTTCCTATAAAATATTTTAAAGAATAAGAATTGCCGGGCCGTGGTGGCACACACCTTTAATCCCAGCACTTGGGAGGCAGAGGCAGGTGGATTTCTGAGTTTGAGGCCAGGCTGGTCTACAGAGTGAGTTTCAGGACAGCCAGAGCTACACAGAGAAACCCTGTCTCAAAAAACCAAAAAAAAAAAAAAAAAAAAAAAAAAGAGTAAGAATAAAAATTAATAAAGCTATTTTTATTAAATATGGCTTCTTAAAGTTGCCAATCTCATTTCTTAAATAACCTGGAGAATTATGTAGCAAAACATTGCATTTGAGAAAAGTACAGAGGCTGTGCTGTATCTACTTCAGAACACTTTGGTCCCATATAGCAGCAATCCTTAAACAGAAACATTATCTCCTGGTGTCAGGCAAAATTCCACTATCAAATTAGCTTTCTACAAATAAGTACATTTATTAAATGTAAAAAAAAAAAAAAGAAGATATGATAAAAAGCCGTGAATTAATATTGCTATTCTTTAATCCAGTCTACTTTTATCTTGCATGAGAATCAGAATTCTGGGGCTCAAGGAAAAAGATTAAATTTCTATCAAAAGACTCCTTCATATAAAAGAAATGAAGACCAGTGTTTTTTATAGGAAATGGCAGCTGAGAACTAACACACAGCTCGTCTGACCTGACAGCCTGCAGTACTGTTTAGTGCTTTTACTAATAGGCTCAGTGCGATTAGAGCAAGTGGCTAAGTCACTGATTATAAAGACAGACTTTGTATACTGTTTAATTCTATACCTCACATACACAGCTCAGCTGCCACGAAGGGAGAAAAGAGACAGGAAGAAAGGAGGAAACACTTGTTTAGGTTTGGTTTCTGAGATCTTGTCTGTATATAGCCCTGGCTGTTCTGACATTCACTGTGTAGAGAAGGCTGGCCTCAAACTCAGAGAGCCTCTTGCCTCTGCTTCCTGAGTACTGAGATTAAAATCAAAAGTGTACTATCATGCCCAGCCAGAAACACTTCAGAGTGGGACAGGGGCTAGGGTAGTGTTAACTCTTGCCAATAGAAGTAAGCTACTGATGTGTATGAAAAAATGTGTCAAAAATCACTTCTTTCTAAACAAGTTTGAAGTGATTTTTACTTAGAAGAGTACTAAGTGGTAGTGACCTAAAGAATCAATGTCTATAGTACCCAGTTCCCTCCTTAGTGGATAAGTACAGAAAGGTCAGAGAAGTTCCACAGCTGCTAGTTTCTAACCGTTAGAAAGATCATGAAATCATGGAGCTACCCAAGACCTCACCCCAAAGTCTCACTCCGTGAACCTAAACTATTAGTTTATGGGAAATCACTGACACTTGGGTAAAACAATTATATTTAGAACTTTTTCAAAAACAAACAAACAAAAAATTGAAATGCAGTATTTTGTATTTTCCACACTTGTTACATTTACAAAACCAGTTAATATAGACACATGGAAATCTACCAGGAATAGGCTTTGGCAAAATGAAACTGTATTCAATGAGCTATCAGAAGTAACACCGATTCAATTAGCCCATTTTATCACTTAAAATCCTAACAGTCCAACTACAAGGCAGAAGTCCCAGTACTCACCATATGTAAGAGCTCTCCTAGAAGGATGGTTGCCCTCACTGAGATGTGGTCATCACTGTTCGTTATCACTTCCACCAATCCCTAGGAGGCAAGAAGGAAGTACAGTGTTGCACAGCAGTGCAGGTGAACACATTTCTGCATTAGACCTGGCTTTCACTTCTAAGAGGTTTTTGAACAATGTAAATTAAAGGTTTGTAAATATTACCTCTAAAAGTCCATTACGAATAAATGCAGAGAGTATCAGTGCCAAATAATTGTCCATGAGATCTGGCCTGGAAGCAAAAGCACAGCGACAATTGAAACATTTCACATAACATAAAAGCAGTGAAGGTGATACGTGGCAGTCATTTTATATCTAAAGTCTACCTGGATCTAGCACGATGGGGAAGAATAGTTTTTGCTTCAGCTGCCACAAAGCCATCTGAAAGCCTCCAACTGTCCTGGAATCTTCCTGGATCTAAGAGAGTTAAAATCAGGGAGTTAGCATATTAGGCAATACTGAAACAGATGAGCGTGGGACTATCAGCTATTTAGGCTACAAAAACTTCAAAGTGGTTTTAAAAAAACACTTGGGGAGAGGTGGAGATTGTGTCATGACTGGTACAGGTATGGCTACCTGGGCTTGTCAAAAGGTGTATGCCTGTAACAGCAGCATAAGGAAGTGTGCATACCTGCATACATACATGCAACACACCCAACTGTTGATAGGAATGCAGTTGTAACTTCATTCACTGGCGACTTAAGCATCTCATGAATTAGACAATTATCAGAAAAAAAAAGAAAATGTTTGTATTTCACTATCTAGTAAGCTGTTTGCATCAAGTCACGTGAAAATGTAAGCGGCAGACCCCTGTGCCCTTCAGAACCTACCTACACTGAGCAGGGCTTCTATGAACTCGTCTGTCACAACAGGCAGAGGGAGACGAAAAATATCATAGAGCACTTCAAGCAGACCACGCTGGAACAACAAATACAGTTCACTTATTTCTACAGAAAAAGTCCTTAATGACTTTCAAAAGATCATGGTTACAAAATAACAAAGTAATAAAAAGATACCTAAGGGTAAGTATTAAATATTCAGCATATATGTCATTTAATTTTTTTAATCTTATCACTACTGTACAAATTTGGAAACAGATTTCAGTTCTTTCCATCACAAGCATAGAGGTCAGCTGATGGTCAGAGCGGTGGCTCAGCAGTGAACTCCTTGCCTGGGAAATTCCAAGGTTTGATTGTCAATACCTCAAAACTCTGTCAGTTTATCAGCAAAGCCTCCCACTTCCATGTTCTGGTGAGGTCTAGTTCACATTTTAAGCATGCACACCTAGCCAATGCTTTCTAACAATTTTCCTCCTACAGGTACAGTTCACTTAAAGAAAAAACTGGAAGGCAAAATGGAGAAACAAAACATTTAAGGGAAGATAGATACCTTAAGAGCTAATGTGTTTTTTCTTCCACATTCAATTTGGTTTAGCTATTTAATATAAACTTACTAATTATAAAAATTTAGAAATATAGCTAATAAATCAATACCTAAGGAGTTTTAGTAAAAAAAAAAAATCTTCAAGATAAAAACATGGTAACATGGTATCAAAAGTATATAAAAAACAAAGCATGACTACATAAATATAATATCTACTTTTTTGGTAAATGTATTTCTATGCTTGACTCATAAGAGTACTCTTCTGTTTTACTTGCATTGTTTTAATAAACTATAATTAATTTATATTTTAACTCAAGCTTTAATAAAATTGTCACTCTTAACCATATTTTAAGTGATTCATATATTACTCTGAACTATTCATGTCCTGAAAAATGCTCTAAACTAAAATTACCAACTTGAAGAAAAACTTCATCTAAAATGATTTCTAAAGAACCTGTGTGCATGTGTGCATATGACTAAGGAGACCCGAGCCGCTGGATTCCCCTGGAACCGCAGTGACAGGTGCCATGACATGTGCTGGAACCTGGCCTGAGTCCTCTGCCAGAGCAGGAGATACCTTACTAAGGGAGCCCTCTCTCCAGCCCTGACCCTAATGTAACTTTTAAAGGTCTAGGCATGTAAGAATTACAGTATCTATTACCTACCCTTATTTCCATATTTGGTATGCAAAGTACTCCAATTAGAGATTGTATCCCAGAATTTCCAGGTTTACATAAATTAATAATACCTAAAGAGAATAAAAGTTAAAAAATATTAAACTAAGGAAGATATTCTACAATAATGTGTCATAATATAAAAATCTATGATTTTTTTCCAAGCTAAATTATACTATTTGGTTATTGATATCATATTAGTAATGGATACCAAGTATTCTCAGAATTTTCTTACTAACTGGAAATTGCTATTATTTTCATCACCTAAATTTCTTATTAATTTCTACTTCATATGCAGAAATTGATGAACACAGGTGGCTATAAATCAATGTTTCTCTGGGAGTAAAAACATGAGAGAAAAAAAGAACGATATTTTCCCTGTCTAATACTTCTTGAAACTACAATGAAAAGCTGTGTGATGCTTGTCAAATTTAGTTCTAACATCTCCTAAATATACAAATGAGAAAAAGCAACAGATTCCAAATAAAATTCACTGCTCAAAGACTTAAGTTACAGAACTTATAAGACACTAAATTCTGTGTCACAAAGGATACAGGTGATCAGCAAGCACAAAATACTCAGGGCATCAACTATCACAGAATGCAAACTGCTGAAGTAAGACCAGCACACTGCACTAAAAAGCCAACAGCAAAGCCTGCAACAGCAAACAGTGTGCATGTGCACCTCCTTCAGGACTAAAAAATGCTGCATCTGCAAGCTTCTTCATGGTACGATAGAGAAACTTAGATGGAATGACAAAGACACAGAGGGACAGACTGACACACAGACAGATGTAAAATCTACACAGTGGGAATACATACCACTGCACAGTTTTTAAAATTCTTCAAAATATTTTATATTAAAATGCTAGAAAAAATGTTTTTGAAAGTCACATAGGACTCTGATTCTCCCTCTTACCACTACAATGGCTAAGTGTCCATTATCAAACATCCTTAGAACCAGATGTGTTTCATAACCTGGTTTTTTTTTTTCAAATTTCAGAATTACTTGCATATATGCCATAAGATAATTCACGTGTGGGCATAACATAAATTTATTTAAGTTTCAAATATACATTATACATACATATATTCACACACACACACACACACACACACACACACACATCTCCTGGAGACTAAACTCAATGTTCTTACGTTATGAGTGCAACTAGTCCTATGAGGTCACATGCACAGTCTTCTATTCAGAAGCCTCAGATATGGTAGCACTTTGGGTTTCATAGTAAGGATGATCAATTTGTATGCCTGCGTGTGTGAGTATCTGTAATTTCCCTCTGGTCTTACAATCAAAATTCAAGTTAAGCACAGTAAGCAAAATTAAGTGTTCCAGTCCTTGAAGTACACTTCCCCAACTTTGATATGTGACAGCAGTGTGAGAAACCAGAGATTATGGTAAGAGATATAAGTCTTACCCTGTGCTAGCATAGAAAAAACGCTGTTGACACTTGTGGAAAATCCGTGCTGCTAAAGCTATCCCTCCAGAAGTTATTGTAATTTTAAAACTTGTTGTAGAATCAACATTGCAAAACTGTATTTAGTTTATAAATAGAGCCACAGAATCTAAGCACTATTTAGAAAACTACTTCTGTTAGAGCATTTTCAAGGTCGTAATTGAAGTGCTATTCTTCTTCTTCGTTCAGTGGGGTTAGAGAGCATCTGACTAGTCACAGATCAGTCTACAAGGCACTAGGAGAAAGTCACTGAGCAGGAGTGTGTGAGATGGGCTTTAGGAGAAGTCACTGAGCAGGAGTGTGTGAGATGGGCTTTAAGAGGCTGACCACGACGAGCAACACAGTGATGGTGAGCGGTCTAGAAGATGGAAGGCTGAGTGAGCAGTTAGGCGACCTTGGTGGTTAAAGCACAGTGCAGCCTGTGGGTAAAATAAAGACGCTATAGCAGCAGTTAGCTGAGGAACAGTAGAGGACATCTAGTGACAGAAAACGACACCATCTTGGAGTAAGGGCAAAGATGCTGGCCAAGGTGATCAAAGGCGTGTCCATGTTAAAAGAGGCCATGGGGTTTAGTGATGCACTGCTTTCCACTCTCAGCTTTCAGGGGAACCTCAGCTGAGAAACTGAGTCCCATATGCAAGATAATGGTCTCTGGGAGGGGATTCAACTAGGTGAGGCATCCTAACAAATCCCCAGGCTAAAGCTAGGAGAGGGACGACTGGCACTAGTGGACTAGCTTTCTCACCATGTGATGCTGACGCCATGTTCCTGAATATTCAGCCTCCAGAAGTGGGAACCACATAAATCTGTATTTTAAAATGAAATTGCCTACTTTTTGGTGTTTTGACAAGAGAAAATGAATGAAAACAAGTATGAGAGAGGTTATCTCTTAGGTCCACATACAACCTCAGTTGTCCATGAAGGAGAAACAGGTAGGGACAAGGTTCTCACTGGGGCACCAAGAGAGCAGAGAAGCTCTGGGACACTGGAGATACACCAGCTGAAGCCCACTGGCTGGATAAATACTTGTGTGGAAAAGATATCTGTAAGGTGGTAAAGTAAGCACATAGCTATGTTTATCTAAGTTTCTTTGTTTGGCTTATGGCTAACGGTAATTCTAAGTTCTCTGTAGTAACATTACAATGCTAAGTATTTACTCCATAGAAAGATAAAGCATGTATAATCTTTATACTAAAGAAATCTAGTGACCTGGAGACAAGGCTCGAGAGTAGAGGTCTTGCTCATCATGCATAAAGCCCTGGGTTCAGAACAAATAAACTGTAAAAACAAATAACAAAGAAGTTTGAGACTCCTAACACCCTGCATAACTTAATAGCTATGACATTACTACATCATTTTTATGTAACATGCTTCAGCAGGACATACAATCCCTCCGTTTTTCCCCTTTACTTTGGGAGTCTTGGGGGAAGAGGAGTAGATAATGCTGGATTTTCTTAAAATGTTCAGCAAATCATTTTAGCACAGTGAGTTGAAAATGTAATGCATTTATATATATATACAGAATGCAGAATACTGAATATAATATCCTACTTACTAGCAATTTTCTACTGTCTTTTATTAATTTTGTGTAAATCTCCTTGAATATCATACATTTAAAACTATAGTCATATTTAAATTAGATGCTACAACAAATAAACATTTAAAATACCAAGTAAAGTTTAGTTTTTTACGACATTGACCAATATACAGAACATACCTGCCCATGACCGGAATGTCGCAATGATTCCCATTTTACTGGCTAGAAATCGTGCTTCTCTGTCTTCTCTGTTGCAGGGTGTGCGTGGGGAATTATTAAAGACACAAGATTTAAACTGAAATGAGTTTTTGTTGATAATATATCAGAGAAAACTCTATCATTAATGTTAATTATTTACATTTAAAAATCAAAACAAGATGTTCTGAAAAAGACCAGATCTTCTCAATTTTTAGCATAAATTGACCTTCAATTTTTAAAAGACAATATAAATCAGGTGTGGTAGTAGTGCACATCTACAATCTCAGCACTCAGGAGACAGGAGCGTTGCTGTGGGTTCCAGGTCAGGCTGGACTACACAGAAGGTGTAGCCAGGGGTAACATGCTAAGTCAGAAAATAAACAAATGACTACAAATGAAACGCACAGCATGATTTACAATTAAGTTATAAATCTTGATCTTTCTGAAAACGTATTCTTAGATGTGCTTCATGAGCACCAGAGCACAGTCAGCTAAGTAAGCATCACGTAGCAATGACGTCTCATCACCAAGAGCGCACTGCCAAAGTTTTGGTCAACACCAGCATTAATAACTCAGGGAATTCAGTAATGAATTGGTTTGAATATTACAAATTAACTTTTAAATTTCTCAATCCTTTCTTTTAATCTGTACTATGTAACTGTGAGAGACATACAGCACAGCCATGAACAAGGACATCTACTCCCATTCCCTGGGCTCTGGAACAATCAGTGCTTACTGTAAGCATAGACTCGCCCCACCCCGTTCCAGCAGATACTCATGGCACTTACTTGAGCTGTCCTTCAGCTGTGTCTGGACTGTGTCTGTAGTGGAAATCAGTATAGGGGGCTAAAATTCGCTAGTTAGAAAAGAAAAGAGAAACACAAAGATTGCTTATTATAAAAAGCACTCTTTCTTTAACACAAAATTAATTCCATTTCTCTGTATCTTTAAGTGGATTAACCATTTAAGACATTTGTTCTTCAAATTCATTTTTAGAAAATGTAACATGATTTTTAAGTACAAACTGATTTTTTTTCCCAAAAACTAAGGTCTAATGTGCATCTAAAACAAAACAGGCACAGGCAAAAAGGTACTTCTGGATTGGGATGGCGGCCATCTTCCTTTAGTGTTCACTATGATCCCTACCAAAGACACCGCGATTCCATTCCTTCTGCTGAAAACTCAGCTGCCAGTCTGTTTTTTTGTTGTTGCTTTTGAAAGCAGTTGTGTCTTTCTGTCAGTTTCTTCTTCTCCTCAAGTTGCTTGTAAGAGTTTAAGTGATCTGGATTTAGTAGTCTTACAATGGAGTGCCTGACAACTTAGTTTCTTTTATGTTCTCATTATTTGCAAAACCTAGTTAAATCTAGAAACAAACTTTCAGTTGTTTCGCTGGATCCTCGCTTTTGCCAATCTTCTCTCTCCTTTCCAAGGACTGAAGCTGCTGTCTTCCATGTGCTGGGTCCTGTGCACCCCTTGTCCCCATTGTGATTTACTCTGGTTATTTTTATTAACCCTTTAGATTTCCTATTAATATCTCCTTGTCCACAATGAGATTTTAATTTTATAGAATTCTGAATTCTAGATATATATTTTTCACACTTTTGATTCATTTTTGTATGCCTAATTATATGATAAAATTCTTCATATTTTTACTCATAGTTATCTCCCAGAACAAATTAACTGTGGTTTACCTGAAGTCTGTTTTTCTATCTAGATTATTCCCTGAGCAACACATCAAAAGGATCATCCAATGTATGTCATCAAGTAGGCTTTATCTGGATAACCAGAAATGCTGGGATAGGTCAACATATAAAAATCTGTCTATGTAATACACTATATAAACAAACTGAAAGAAAAAAAAACACATAATAAAAAGTCTTTGATTAAATCCAACAACCCTTCCTGATAGCAGTCTTCTAAGAAAAAAATTTTCTTTTGAGTTTTCAGTCTCGTGATCATTTCTTTGTGCATGAATAGAAATCATATGTATGTTCATGTGTGTGTTAAGGATTGACTTGTCTTCGCAAGCACCGTCCACCTTACTTCCTAAGACAGGCTCAATGAACCTAGAGAGCACTGTTTAGGCTAGGCTGGAGGCCATGGAGGCACCAGGGTCCCTCTCTCCCTGTGCCTCTGCATACTCCACCATACCCAGTTTGTCTATGCGGATGCTGGAGATGCCAACTCAAGTCCTTGTGCTTGAAGCAAGCACTTTACACATTGAGCCAACTAGCCAGCCCATGAGTAGAAATTTCTGACTGAATGGTCAACACAGTCATTTCATTTTAAAAATTTACTTGATGTTATTATCTTCCACCAGAGGTGGTTAATCTTCTCTTCTATGCAGATAAATGAAAGCAGCCACTCATTCCATCCCAATGACGGTGTTAAACAGAAGTCACACCCTAATCTAGTAATACTACGTATACCTGTCTGTTCTGTGATCTCAGTATGTTCTCCCAGTATTTTCAGTATGACTTAGATGATGGTTTTTTTTCCTCTTCTTACCAGTTAGAATGAGATTTTTAAAAAGGTTTCTTCTGGTATTTTTAATTATGTATATGTAAGTACATTCACATGAGTGCAGGTGTACACAGAGGCCAAAAGAGGCAGATCTCCCTAAAGCTGGAGTTATCAGAGACTGGGAGCAGTCTATGGGCAGGTGCTGAGACTCTCAACTGCAGTCCTCTGAAAAGAGCAGAGACTGGTCTTAACAACTGAACCATCTTTCCAGTCCCAATTAGATTCTTATTTTTTTTTATTTTTAGAAAACAAAAAAACAAAAAAACAGATAAGTTCTCACTATGTAGCCGTGGTTGATGTGGGACTCATCATGTAGACTAGCATGGTTTTAAACTCATGAGAGATCTGCCTACCTCTGTTTCCCAAGTGCTAGAATTAAAGGCATACACCATGCCAAGAATTTTCAAGAATGTATTTTGTATATTTAAACTAAGGTCTTTTACCCATTTAAACAACTTTGAGAATTTGGTAACTATTAAGAACAAGAGATTAGTTACAACATATCCAGTTTATTATTTTAGCACTACACATCCACCAAAGGTTCTTGATTTTTCTGATATCACAGGAAGAACTTACTAAATATCACCTATAACATATCCCTAGTAGCAAATTATCCAGCAAAAAGTAAGCAATTACACAGTAACTATAGAAACTCACTACAAATGGTATCAGGGTAAACTAAAAATTGATTCAAAAATAGTTATTTATAGAAAAGAAAATGTATTGCTTCAGAATGAAAACAAAATTGATTTGATGTAATAAAGATTGCATTTTCTAACTGATTCCACAATGAAGCCATGGGGATGAAGACAGAAGACAGTGATAAACAGGGAAGCCAGATTGATTAAGTGTGAAGAATTATACAACAAATTTTATGTAGACTAAAATATAGGGGAAATGCATATAACAATGTAAGTTTGTACGTTTAGAACATTTAACTTTTGAAAATGCTTTTTTAAGTTTGAAAATCATGACCTTATTTATCCCTATTAAAAACCTAAGTCAAGAGAACTCTTGCCTAAAACCATAAGGCTAGCAAGGCCACATGATAAACTCACACCTTCTCTAGCACAGTGAGTAGGTGGTGCTTTCCCCACTCAACTACATCCACACCACCCAAACAGAACTTACACAGCCTAAAGTCTACTATCTCAGGCTATGTTCCACTGGTGTGACATCTTCCTGAGGAAGATTGTTCATGGCTATTATGCACATAATAGAGCAGTTTGTTTAGAGATATACCACAGTCTTTGCAGGTTATTTTCATTTCCATCAAGGGTTGCTAGTCTGCTTCATAATGCATAGGAATAAAAGAGAGCCTATGCACCTATCTTCTTCATTTGTAATATAAAAATCTTCAATCTTAATTATCCTATTTAATAAAAATTAAAGCTAAGCATTTTGTAAAATATCAATCTCATTGGCACAGGAGTCCAAAGAATAATACATTTAAAAATCACTAAGAGACTACTATGCTTATTACATTTGTTAGTAATCATAGTCTGAAGAAAGTTTTAGCATACTCTACCCAATTTGATTCTGCTAGGTATACAACTTATTTAACTGCCTCAGTATTATAAAGTTATGCCAAGCATCTATTTAGCAATATCTTTCCACAAGCCCTTAAGTACTATTTTAAATAGAATTGCTTGAAGTGGAACTGTGAGGTCAAGAGACAAGTGGGGCACCTCCAAAGATCGCTCCAGAGTGCATGCCACTTCACTCCCACTAGAAGAACTTGAGAGTCCCTTTACTTTCTAATGTCTTGTCCCAGATTGTCACTTTAAAATATTAAAAGTGAATTTGAAAAAAAAAAAGAAGAAATGAAACAGTCCTAATGGCAGAATCACTGGCGTTACCTATCACTCCACCTGTGTGGCAGGCTGACCTAGGAGCCTACAATCTGGAGAAGAGCCAAAGGACATAGCAAGACATCATCACAGAGGGGATAAAAAGAAAAAGAAATCTTAATATGATCAGAACTACTACACTTCCTTAAAATGGTATGGATAATTAGAAAATAATAAACATCTTAAGTCCTAGATAATTTATAATACTTAAATCCCTGGTTTAAACTTATTTTGGGTGCGTCTTCAATAGACAATAATGTAGTATGTTCTCCACAATAACCTGCTCTGTCTGATGCAGTCTTACTAGTAGCTCTGGCTGGCCTCCTCTCCCATTACCTCTCCTCTGCCTCATGAATGCTAGGATTAGTCATGTGCTGTCATCCCCAGTTAGGACCACCTATAAGGAGTATAGTTACCTTACTACTTTAACTATAAAACTCTCTACCTGAATTAGTAAAAAAAATTTTACATGTGACATACTTTTGAAATGATACATGCATGTTCAAATACAGATAGTACCGAAGTGTACTATTTCTTCATTGTTAACTGTTTGTTATTAATTTACTATATATGTATGTGTATAATGTTGGTGGATATGGGTGCAGACATGTCCGGTATGCATGTGGAAATTGAAGGACACCTTTTGGGGAGTCTGTTCTCTGTCACCTTATATCTGAGGCAGAATTCTTCCCGCTGTTTTCTGCCACTGAGGTACCTACAAGAGCTTTCACCCAACTCTTAAGCGTTTCTGGAAATGCTGGGACTACAGAATTGAACTATATCCAGTTTTTATGAGGTTCCCAGAATCAAACTTAGGCTGTCAGGTACACAGTAAGGGCTTTACCCTCTAAACCATCTCTTCAGCCCCTAAGTGGATCTTGAGAGAACCTTAGTGTCGTTTATGAATGAAGGTAAACAATATTAACACAGTGCATCTCTCATATAGACACGTTTTAGTGTAATCTTACTCATCCTTCAGTTGGCTCAGGAAACTTCTCAGGGCTAATACAAAACGAACGACTGTGCATGTTGCTGAAATAGTCTTGAGAATAACATTCTTAACTCATTCCTAATCAAATAACTATAATAAAGAATAGGGAAAAAAAAACAAACTAACACAGGTTAGACAATTAATGTGGCACTTGAGTCTACTATTTCAAAATTTCAAAGCAAAGTTATGTATTTAAACTTATATTTTAGGGATAGAGAGATGGCTCTAACACTAAAAGCACTGGCTGCCCTTCCAGAGGACCAAAGTTCGATTCCCAGCACCCACATGAGAACTTACAACCATCTATAACTCCAGTTCTTGGGGTTTCAATGCTGTCTTCTGGCCTCTGTGGGCACTGTACACATATGGTGCACAGACATACATGAAGGCTAAACACCCATAAACATTAAGTAAACATAAGTATTTTTAAATTCTATTTTAAATTAGAAGCATACTAAAAAGTGCCTACCTCTAATTCTACATCAGCTCGCACATACTGCCGGGTCTTTGGATGATTAAGAAGGTGCAAAATTGTAGTAATGAGAGCCTCATTTATTCGACTTAATTGGCAATCAATCACATTTTTCAGTATGGTGTTTAGTCCGCCTCGAAGGGCTACCACCTCTGGGTTCTGAAGTGCTAAAATGAAAGAAAGACTAATTATATTCACAGTTCTGAGTATTTAAATCCTACTTTTTTACTTAAGTCTTAGTTTCCTTTGGATTTGAAAACTTTCTAACTATATTTACAAGTAAAAGATATCAGGTTCCTACTGATTTAATATCTTTATTTAATTTAAAATCGTCTTAGTATCATTCCCCAAGCCTGACTTTTAAAATGTCTTTGACCATATTTTGTCATATTGTTTGGGCATAGTTTACTGAATATTTTTCTTCAATTTCAGAGTTCATTTCACTGTGGAGAAATTAGTCCCATAGTCTTTTTTCAAATACTTTATAGAACTTCTTGTTTTTAATTTTGATTTAAACAGTGTGTATCACTTATTTTCATAAAAATACACACATGCATGCAAGCAAAACACACACACACACACACACACACACACACACACACACACAGTTTGTAATTTTAAGATGAAAAACTCCTCTCTTTGTCTTCCTTTGAAGACCAGGACTGTCCCTGAATGTAGTCTGTGCTTTTTTGCTGTGGGATTTCTGTTTGGAAAACAGCACTGAGCGCAGGCAGGCCTTTCACACACCATTCTGTCTGTCCAGAGTGCTGGGATCTTACCTGACATGTATACATCTTAATGACTTAAGTTCCATTTATTTCACTCTGTTGTGAAGCTGAGTTGTATTGAGATAAATGACATTACTGAAATAATCTCAATTTTCCCTCATGAATGTTTTATCAATTACTCTAGCACATTTCTCAAATTGATTTTTATACTTTCCTTTTCTCTTTCTTCTTTAGAGACAGGGTTGCTGTATTCGCAAGCTGCCTTTAACAGCTGGTCTCTTAGTGGCTCTGTCTCCCCAAGTGCTGAGGACAGCGATGTGTTACTATGCCCCTCTTTCATTTTTATATGTAATGATCTGCCAACGTGTTTTTAAAGTAGAATACACAACTTTTTAAAAAGGTTTTCTCTTAAAATGTTTCCCTGGTTTCTTCAGTCATGTTTATTCTTCTGGATGATGTCAGAACTGGGGTCTCTGCTGGGTTCTGAAATGAGGTAGCTGCATAGCATCGCACAGATGTGACAATACTGACCACTCCTCCCGCGCAGACTCTGTGCTCCTTCTGTATGCTGAGTTACTTGTATCTTCCTGAAACTCAATTCGACTCACTAAAAAGTACCCCCACATCTGTATTTCCTACGTATTCCTTATATGCCCATGTATTCTATTCTGATTACTAGTGCTGAAATACAGCAGTTTCCATTTTCACAGTTGCACAGCAGGAACTGCATGAATCATCTCCCTTGATCCTGCTTTCCTGTGTATCTGTATAGTGACAACTAGCTGCTTCCTAATTCTTGAACTTCATTTATTACTTCACCAATGTAAACAATGTTTACTAAGGTTGTTGTCCCAAAACATAAGGTACAAAGTGACTGAGGAAGATATAGAGGGTCAACCTCTGGCCTTTACATGTGTGTGCATACACACATTGCTACCCATACAAAAAGGTTTACGCTGTTGACCTGACAGAAATTCTTTTTCTTCTGTCCTTTTTTCTCATAAGTGTTCTCATGGTTTCTTCTGTTGTGCACGGTTACTTTGAAGATTACTCCCTTCTAGGTTTTCAGTAGCACTTTATAACTACTCTATTACATTACTTTATTACAAGCATAGCTGGTCAGATTTTTCTAATTATCTAACTGTGTTTCTGGATAGAGTACTTGCTTCCTTATCTATTACTGTGCACAGGTACAGTGTTGGTTCACAGGTTGGTGAGCCTTTTAGCCTTTCCTCAGTATTTGCAATCTCTTCTATGGCTTCTGATCTAGCATGGATTTCTACATTTGTGCAATTGGATATTAGCATTTATTTTTAAAACCCATTTATTTCAGTGAGTTTTCAAGAATATATATTTTTAAAAGTCTTCTAGTTAGAAGAACTCCTGTTAGATTTTTCTCCCTTATTAAGGAATTTCTCAATTTGGAGTTTTCCAAAGTTCAAGTATGTATTTCAATGTTTTTTTTCTTCTACCTACTATAAATGAAGGCTGAGCAACCTGTCTTTCATCCTGATAATAAACTTTAATTTCACCATGTTTTCACTCTGCTTACCATGAGATTTGGTACTTCCTGTCTTTCTGGTTCCTCATCCATTCACATTTTGCTTTACTTTATGATACATAACAATCAATAGTTTTCTAGGCATCCCATACATTGGCATATTGTAACATTTTTATAATTTTCATAATTGTTATCATATTTCTGATCTTGTTTTTATATCAGGACAGATTATGGACAGTGCTTTCAGTCTTCAGTGGTAGAATGGCTCTTTTTTTTTTTAGCTTATACTTTATTAATTTATTATCCTAAGATGAAATATGATCTCCACAATTTCTACTTTTTGGCAGTACCAAACACACGAACAAACAAACAAACCCCATTGTTTTCTTTTACTTAAAATTATGTTCCATTGATAATAAACGAGGTTAAACTTTTAAAATGTAGTGATTAGCCATGTGGGTATTTGGAGACTATTTGCTTTTACTATTTTACTTTACACTTACTTTGCTTGTCTGCTCTGTGACACTCATTTGTCTGCGGCCATATAATAAACCCTAGTTATTGAGATCCCCACTTGATTAGCTGATAATTGAGAATCTGTTCTCCTCCCAGTGCCACAGAAGCATGCACTCATGTCTTTACTCTGTTTTCACTCTAACCCCTGATCCCTAATAAAACAGGGTTATTAGGATTCACTTTGTGCAGTCTAGACTACTATTTTTAAACTATATCAAGATATAGTATCATCAATGTCAGAAGGCTAGACTTTAGTAGATATTGTTATTATTACTAGATTACAGACAATCAAGCTTCATAATGAATCAATTTGAAAATTTATAAAAATATAATTTCTGAATTATTTGATAAATGACATATCTAATATTCTATCACAAATGTACATTTTTATATTTCTGTAGCTATGGATAAAGCATTTTTCTTTTAAATACATTAGGGAATACTACATGTACTTTTTAAAACATTTCTTCATTACTTGAAGAAAATTCTGACCTAGTTCACAGATAATGGCAATGCATGCCCGGACCATTCTGTCTCGTTCCTGAAGTCCATCATTTCCAACTGCAATTAAGGAGTTGGCCACAGAACTAGGAAACAAGGAGGCATTCACAGTAATCATCTGTAACAGAGAAGAATCAGAAAATAAGTAATTTAGGTTTAGTACATTTTAAAATTCATTTTATTCAGAGAGAGAGAGAGAGAGAGAGAGAGAGAGAGAGAGAGAGAGAGTGAGTGTGTGTGTGTGTGTGTGTGTGTGTGTGTGTGTGTGTGTGTGTGT